GTTTTTGGTTTCATTTCACATATTAATTCATTTGTAACAAAATTTCACTCGTAAAAGTATGTAGTTCGGATGAAGTTGTATCGAACTATGTATAATTGAAAAACATTTTCACGACAAAGTATGTGCAACTATTCCGATGTTCCCCTTGCATCAGCACTGAAAAATACTAACAGATAATGAAAAAAATTTTCCACAAAATCCAAATTTCACAGCTTGGTGCTATATAAGGTTTGAAAGAGCGAAGTCTGTTCTATCGATTCCTATATTTAGGTTTCCATGGGAATGAGGTTCTGTTATTAAAAGACAATCGAAATAAAAATTTACCGCATTTTTTCTTACTATAACATAATAGTGGTTCCATGGTATCTCAATCACGTATACAAAAGTGATTCTCGATTTTGATGAAATTTTCAGTATTTGTAGAGCTTTTAATTCTAAACATTTTAATAAAAAAAAGTTTTCAAAAACCTTTTGTTTTGATGGAGATATCGCCAAAATACTAAAGATAGTAAAAGTCCACAATTCTGAAAAAAGTAGATTTTGCACAGTTTTGGTAAACGAATTTTGATAGTTTTAAAGCTAAAACAAAGTCGAAAATAAAAATCCAGACCCTATACGAATTCCTCGTGAAAAGGCGCATGGAACCAGGTAAAGTTAAAAATATTTTTCAAAGAAATTGGTTTGACTTTTGGGATAATTGCCTGACACAGGAAGGTATTGTGTGTATTATGAAGAATGAAGGTAAGCAAAAAAATATGCATAAGTGAAACAACTCTTGTTTAAACTGGTGAAATTTCGTTATTATTTGATGCATTCTTTTTACACAGAATTCGAAGATGCTTTTGCTGATTATGGTGCCCGCTATAATTTCCTCACCCTCTGAACTTGACTGAAATTTCAAACACTTTGTTTGAGATTTCGACCACATATGGCTGGTGATAAACTCTGATCGTAGGCACCAACACCATATTAATTGAACGCAATAGACCAAAGTTATACACCAAACACTATCGTTATCTTACATTGGCTGTATCTCAGTCATAGAACCACTTTGGAAGATGAGAGAACCCAGCATTCAAAAGACTAAGTCTTCAGTATCCTTCGATAGAATGTGCATTAGGAAACCCCTTCAGATTGCTAAGATATCGGCCCAGTAATGGGTATTGACCGAATCCCCATAATCACGATTTTCACTTCGTCATAGTGATAATCACTGTTACATTGATAGCTTCACTTGCTAATTTTTTCTCAACATACCCATAGTCTTGGGAACCCTCATGCAGATGTTTAGTATTACTGTTTGCACTGAAATGGAAATACGACAATATAATGATCTCATCATCGAATATGTCGCCAAAAATTTATATCTCAATGAATCCAGTTGTTCTTTCTACCTTATGTTGCACGCATTAGAAGCTATGTTTATCACTAGAAAATTCTCCTAAGAACTATTTTAATATAAAGTAATATCGTTTTTTATTATATGATAAATGGTCCCCTTAAAACCATTAAAAAAAGAAGAATCTTTTCAGAAACAATTTTTTATCATGTCAATTAGATGTAACATATTTACTTATAGAATTTATGTTTACACGTAATCAGAAGCTTTAGTAATATCAATATGACTTATCTGAGTCATAACAACCATGACTACTAAGATCTATCAACACTTTATATGTAAACTAGAAAATTTCTTCGATTCAACGGTACTATTCCGTATAATGCGAATATTAGTGGATCCAGATGTATACGAAGGACAATACGTATAAATAGCCGGCGTACGCTTTGATATAGAAGAAAACGATATTATTTTATATATAAATGGTTCTTAGGGGAATTTCCTAATGATAAGCACAGCTTCTAATGCATACAATGTAGGGTACAAAGAACAACTGGATTCATTGAAATATGAATTTTTGCCGATATATTCGGTGATGACATCATTATATTGCCGCATTTCCATTTTCGTGCAAACAATAATACTGAAAACTTATGTAAGCGTTCCCGAGACTATGAGTATGTTGAGAAAAAATTTTCAAGTGAATCTTTCAATGTAACAGTGATTTTCCCTCTGACTAAATAAAAATCGTAATAATTGTGATTCAGTCGAAACCCATTAATGGGTTGATATGTTAGTAACGTGAAGAACTTTTTTAATAAAAATTTTATCAAAGGAAACTGAATACTTAATCTTTTGAATGCTGGGTTTTCCGATCTCCAAGTTGGTTCCATGACTGAGATACTGCCGATGTAAGATAACGATAATGTTTGGTGTATAGGTGTGGGAAGTTACCGTTCCTAGACCGTTACCCAGGTACTGTAAGGGTAACGGTTCCTATGGAAGGAGTTACCTGTTACCCGAGTAACTAGTAACGGAACTCTTACGGTTACTCGTGAACGGTAACCTCCCATCTCTATTGTTGTAAAACTTTGGTCTATTACGTTCAATTCATGTGGTGTTGGTGCCTATGATCAGGACTTATCAATAGTGAAATGTTGTCAAAATTTCAAACGAAGTGCTTGATATACTAGTCAAGTTCAGGAGGTGAAAAACATATGGCGGGCACCATAATAAGCAAAAGCATCTTCGAATTCTGTGTAAAAAGTTGTTAGCGCAATCCCTTGTGGGATTAAAAATGTGAAACACGATGTAGCTGCTATAGTCGATGTGTTCTAAAAGCTGTTATTCCTTTATGCATGTCTATGTGCATTTCTTCATAATGCTTTACCTCATATTGTAGACTTTCGACAGGATAATACTTCATATATGCTTCAATTATATGTGAGTTATATATCTTCTATGATATTTCTTTGAAGTCTTCTGTCACATTCTATAATGACCTCTGAGTTCTGTCTGTCACAGTCTGTGATTAGTGATGAGTGATTAGTTAATTATATAGTAATTAATTAGTTGATTATGTAATAATTGATTAATTAATTAAAACCTCTGTCACGGTTTATGGTGGGTCATATGAGTGTCTGTCACGGTCTGTGAGAGGGACGGGGGTGCAAATTTCTATCCCTAAACACTTCAACAGACCTTTCAGATCGTGTTTCACAAAAGAATGCATCAAATAATAACGAAATTTCACCAGTTTAAACAAGAGTTGTTTCACTTATGCATATTTTTTTGCTTACCTTCATTCTTCATAATACACACAATACCTTCCTGTGTCAGGCAATTATCCCAAAAGTCAAACCAATTTCTTTGAAAAATATTTTTAACTTTACCTGGTTCCATGCGCCTTTTCACGAGGAATTCGTATAGGGTCTGGATTTTTATTTTCGACTTTGTTTTAGCTTTAAAACTATCAAAATTCGTTTACCAAAACTGTGCAAAATCTACTTTTTTCAGAATTGTGGACTTTTACTATCTTTAGTATTTTGGCGATATCTCCATCAAAACAAAAGGTTTTTGAAAACTTTTTTTTATTAAAATGTTTAGAATTAAAAGCTCTACAAATACTGAAAATTTCATCAAAATCGAGAATCACTTTTGTATACGTGATTGAGATACCATGGAACCACTATTATGTTATAGTAAGAAAAAATGCGGTAAATTTTTATTTCGATTGTCTTTTAATAACAGAACCTCATTCCCATGGAAACCTAAATATAGGAATCGATAGAACAGACTTCGCTCTTTCAAACCTTATATAGCACCAAGCTGTGAAATTTGGATTTTGTGGAAAATTTTTTTCATTATCTGTTAGTATTTTTCAGTGCTGATGCAAGGGGAACATCGGAATAGTTGCACATACTTTGTCGTGAAAATGTTTTTCAATTATACATAGTTCGATACAACTTCATCCGAACTACATACTTTTACGAGTGAAATTTTGTTACAAATGAATTAATATGTGAAATGAAACCAAAAACTGGTTGCATCGTGTTACCATAAATTTCTGAAATTTTGCAATTTTTGAAAATACCTGGTATAGTATTTCAACTCGTTCTCCGCTATTATAAGCCTTAGTATTAACTTTTTTATAACCAAAATGATCAGCTCAAAAAGTTCTACAAACCGTGAAATTTTGACGCAATTCAAAGATACTTTTGTAATTCGTGGTAGGATTCCCACGGAATCACCCAGATATAATTTTTAGTGTTCAAAAAATAATCTTTTTTGTGGATGAAAAATAATATTTCTAATGTTAAAAAGAAATTTTTCTCTCTGAAAAAAAAATATTATATTTAGTTTTAAAAAAATAAAACAGAAAAAAAACATGAACAATAAGTACTATCTTCTTATGAATTAAAAAGATCGATTTGATATGAGAATAATAGTTCATATTTAGTTGAACTGTTCGATGAAAGTGAATCTTAAGTACCCATGTTTAAACCTACTTCTCCGCAAATGTTCGATAGGTTTCGACTATTCAAAATTTATATTCGACGGGTCTGGACAACTCGAAATTAAGACATCTACCGAATAAAAATTCTTTTTTTTTTCGATGAAATTTCGACCTATCGGAAACGATTATTCGAGTAGTTGAAAACTGCTAATAAAATAACCTATCGTCGAGTCCTGGACCCATCGGAAAATGGCAAACCCAAGAGTAGATTTGAAATTTCGATGCCCAACGGAAGCCAAAATCGACGCATCGAAATACCTATCGAATGTTTAGTTGGGTATTAATTAATTAACTTGAGTTCATTATTTCCGAAATAAACACTTTTTGTTTTGAATAAAAATATTAACCACATTGGTCGAGAAACATTGTCTCTATTAACTAATACGAATCAAAACTTGTGTTAATTTTCTTTTTGTAAAATAATATAGAGTAAATAACAGATTTGATATTCATTGACTCAATATCGTAAGGCCTCTCTTTCTCTCGATTCGTACAGAGAAAAGAAAGAAAAGAACACGGCATGTGTTCTTATTAACCGTTGTTTTTTATATCAGTTCATATGAACTTTTCCATAACGTTCACGAGAGAAAAAAAGTCAGTACTCTATTTAATGGATAAGAAAAAAGTTCATTCGATTCGACCATAATGATATTTATTTGTCTATGTGATTCAGTCTCGCCCTCAGATAGCCGTGCTGTATCTCGTTGTATGACCTGACCGTCAATATCTGCGTTACCATTCATTGATGATTGTTCTCTTTCCTATATATTTTCTCTCTGTCGTTGTTTCTTCTATTCGTCTATGTTATTTTTTCTTTACCCTTCATCTCTTATTGTATCTCTCTCTATTTCCCCTATATATAAATACGTCTTCAATGTAAAGTAGAGATACTCTGAAAATGTGAAGTAGCTAATAATAAATGTGAGTGTCGAATAGCAGTCAGCAACCGGCAATCCACTTTGTCGTAACATCGATTGTAACAGACGAAACGAACTCTGGATATTTTCTTGTTATCTGTTTCTCCGACACATTTAGTGTTTTCACCTAGAATTCAAATATACTTTTTTTTTCTTCTAAAGTCAGATAGTAGATATATTACAGTTAGTTGTGAACGTGTGGATATTTTTATAACGGTTAAGATTAGAAGAAAATCTTAACGTCAGACTCTAATAGACAGTAAATATTTAAAATAGTATCTTACCTATATTCATCTATGACATGTTTTATCTTTGTTTACAAAACAATGGAGTATGAAAATATAAAAAGAAAAATGAACAAGAGTTTGTTGA